TTTATTGCCATATTCACATTTCAGCTGTTATATGCTCTGGCTTTCTTCGGCTGATTGGAATTTTGAGCTAAACCTACTCCACCAGAGTAGATTGTTCTAGCTCCATGCCATTTCTGGATATCTCAGTATCAGTTATTTCCCTTTAACTCAACTTTTATTCACCTCTGCTGTAGCCAGGTATTGGGGTCAAGTCACTTCAACACTTTTACCCACTGGGTCATGTGTCCTTGAGGAAATTCAAAATTTCAATCACCTGAAGAAAACCAGAGTGTACAATGGCAGAAATGTTGTGAATATGGCAACAAAGATGAGGACAACAGTCCCAGCCAATTATTTTTGGAAAAACATTTCATTTTCAGACAATTTCTTTATTTGTTTTTAATATAGTAACTAAGAAACTGAGATACCTGAATGGTGGCTAACACTTCTACCAAATGTATGAGTTGGCAATTGGACTTGTTTCAAGCTCAGAAGGGCATAAAAAGAATCAAAATCAATGTATAAACACATCTGTAGTTAGTTTTTGAATGTTATATTTTGGAAGTGCTTATTTGTCCATATCTGAAAAGCATACATACACATCTATGCTAGGAAAGCAGTCAAATGTAAATTAAATAATATTTTATGCACCGACAAAATTATTGCAGTTAAAATACCTACCCTCTGACTATTTTTGGGAGAAAGATTTTCTATAAGAAGTTATAGCTATCAGATATAATTCCTTAAGACAATATTTAGCTGTGGTCAAATGAGAACCACAGACTGAAATAAAATCTGAACATGATATAAAAACAATTCTCTCTGCAACAAGTTTACAGCAATATACACAAAGTCACAAACATTAAAGAGGAAAGCATTAAGATGGTCTTTGCTAATATTTAACAGAACTGAATGAGTCAGCAAATGGTCACATGACAATGAAACAATCCAGACTGAATAAAACAAAATGAAGAAAAACTAGAGAACAAGGGTGGAGGAGAGAAAAATTTTGCTGTATAAAGCCAAGTTGATTGCATGTTGTCCTGAAAAATGCTTGCTCTTAAAATTAAACCTGTTACTTATTAAATATACTAGAAATCTTAAATTATTCCAAATTCAATATAATTTGCTGAAATGTGATTTTGTGCAAAATGTAAGGACATTGATAAAATCTAAACATTTTTATAGCCTTCCCCCATTTAAAAAAAAATATATATATATATATATATATATATATATATAAAAAAAAAAAAGTACTTCCCTTGAAATAGGTATTTTTTTTTTAATATAAATCTGTAGCTGCAACATTTCTATCATTGTTGTCACCAATAAGCCACTATTCCATATACCATTCTCTGGATTTTCCTGTATTCTTCAGTTGCATATCATCATCACATTAAAAAGAACATTAACTCATCTATGTCACTGGATATGCAGTTGACTTTCAGCTAATATATTGAGGTTAGATAGAGAAATAAAATGAAAACAACTTGAAAATCAAATTTTAATCAAAAGCATTTTGCAACAAATTATTATGACAGTCATTTACAAATAAATGAGGATTACTAAAAGATTCTATCACTGAGTCAAACATTTTTCATTTTAAAATTGACTCTTAAAAATATCAAGCAGTAGAATCAATTATTCACACGTACAACAGTTTTTTGCATAACTTATTTGGTTCTGAAGATGCATTCTTTGAAATTTTCATTTCTCAAATATTTAGTAGTTTGCACTTTTTAAACATTCAGCAAAAATAAAAAGTAAAAACTTATAAAAATTTATACAATATTGAACTACTTACATGAAAGAAAGAAAAAAAAAATAATGTTTACTTCTGTCTATTGCTAACTGCAAAAAATAAAAATGGCACTGGTAAGAAGAGTAGCAATTTTCTGTATGTTCTAAACATCACTGCATTATTTATGTTCAGATTTAGGCTCTCAAATAGAGAATAGACTTTTTATAATAATCCTCATCTCTGGCCTCAGTTCTAATTAACTAGTATAAAATAAATCTGCATCATCCAAAGAAGGAATGGAACCAGTTTACCAAATGTTGAATTTGATCAGAAATAAACAAGGAAATAGAAGAGAGAGAAGACCACCTCCCTACAAAAAAAACAAAAACAACACATACACAAAAATAAGGAAGTAGTTGTGATAAGATCCCTCTCCATGTAAATGAAAATGGGCTAAAACAAAGTGTATGCAAAAGTTCCCAGCATTGACTGCTTTTTATTATTATTAAAAAAAAAAAAAAAAAAAAAAAAAAAAGGGGGGGTATTTAATGTGTACTCAGTCTATAGTTTTGAAATGGCAGGTATGAAAGAGAGAGGTATACTGTGAACTTTTGCACACACCAACTTCATTGCTTGTAGTTAAGCTGAGATCATATTCCTTGGTAACAATTCAGAAGATGAACATTGTTCACACATTACTATCACAATGTCCATTTCCTGAATTTTTTTTCTTTTTTGAGGTTCTAAGTTTGGAAAGAACATCAGCATCCTTTGAGTACAAAATACAAATACTGAAGGGACCTTAAAATACCATGAATTCTTGTAAAATGTATGGTTTCAATGTAATTCCACATATTCAAACCATTGAAGTTACATTTAGTATGAGAAAGGATTTTCAGTTAGTGATTTAATATTATTTCTCTTAGTATAAAGGTAGAGAAGAAAAAGCTCATTGCAGACAGGTTTGTTCTAGAAAGAGTACAATAATATCAAGAACAAAAGAGTAAACATATAAACAATTTGTTAAATTTGCTTGTTTAGGTTTTCTAAAAAAATAAAATATTGTATAAGAACAAATGTCATCTGCAGAAAAACAGATTTTAGGTGAATGCTTCTTAGAAGCAAATTTACTGCTACAAACAGCACAAGAGCTTCTTTTTTTTTTTAAGTTTTTGATAAAGGATTTCAAGCCCCAAAGAGACAAAACTTGATAAACTGAGTTTATAAATAATTATGATGTGAAAATATCAATAATTTCAGATATTAAATATTCTAAAGTTTTTCTTCAGTTTTGTTGCTTTGATATTTCCAATTGTCATATATCAGTCAATTGTTTCATTTTTTTTTTTTTTTTTTTTTTTTTTTCTTCAAAATTTCAATGTAAGTCCTTTGAATCAAATCTTTTATAGAATCCATTTTAATATATGACTGACTGGATGGACAATTATCAAATCTCATGCTACAACAATGAGAACAGAAAACAGAGGGGAAAGAATATCCCTTAAATACTGATGATGCCTTTTCACATTTAACTATACATGAAATAACTTACTAATATGCATAATAAAATATTTGGAATACACTATAAAATGGTTTACTAAATTTGAACCTCAAACTGAAATTTATAGAATTTTCTTAACATAACGTTTATTTCATCAACTAAAATCTCTCAGACAGACATGCATACATAGCACAAATACATCAAGAAACAAAAATTTATTCATATTTCTTTAAAAAGAAATTTTTAAAAATCCACACAAACTAAAAAAACAGGAAAAAGGGGATAAAATGCTAGAAAAAATATCAAACAAAACAAAAAAAAAAAATCTAAATTATCATTGAATTAAAACTTTTAATATAATAATCTGTTCATCTAGTAACTTAAAAAAAAATAATCGTTAGTTGAAAAGTCAGCTGCTTTTAGGAATTGTGATGCAATAAGAAAAAGTTATTTCAGTAAAGATATCTAAATAGTCGAATAAAACCAGAAAAAAAAAAACAGCAGTGTACAATAGAAAGCTTTTCAACTCTTAAGTTACAGGAAAGAATGGCAAAAATATTAGCAAAAGAAAAAACTAAGAACTAAAAAAGAAAATTTAATAAAATTAGAAAAACAAAAAGCATTTTTTTTTCTCTTTTTCAATTTGAAACAGTTTATTATTTTACAACTTGAGAGTGGTCATCTGATCCGAGTGGTCATCTGATCTGAACATCAAGGAATTTGTCCAGAAAAGCAACTGAGAGCAGCAGGCAGAGGAGAGGGGGTGGGGACATGTCTTTAAGACTGCTCATTTTATTTTCAGAATATGTGTCTACTGCTGGTAGGTGAACTGACACACAAATAGGCAGGCAGGTAGGCAGGCAGACAGTTTGGCTAGGTGAAAAGTTGTTTACCTCTCTTTTTTTTTTTTTATTGGATAAAAAAAAAAAAAAAAAAATTATGCATTAAAAAATATTTATGGTTAACAAGAACAAGTAGTAAAATGTTAAAAAATTCAGTAACCCTTTTGTTAGTGATGGTTCACTAAAATTACTATTTATAAAAATCCTTTTCAAAATATCAACTAATGAACTTCTAGTAAAAAGAAAAATTATCTATTTTTATTTATTATCATTTATATTAAGATAGAATAATATAGAACTCAGAACAAAGACTAACAAAGTTAGGGAGGAAGGAGAAGAAAAAAAAAAAAAAAAAAAAAAAAAACCAAAAAAAACAGAAGACGAAATCCACCAGCAAAAGGTCCGAACCAATGAGTTTCAGCCAGAGTGTGTAGTAATTTAATAAGTTGATGTTGATAATATGCTGTATCTGAAGTCATCAACACAACAGATTTGCCATTTGAAACTTGCTTTCATTTTTTTTTGTGCTTTTTAAGATATTAAATGTTCAAAACATGGATATGCCATTTTACACTGCTGTACTGGCTGACTCTTTAGCCATTGTAATTTTTTTTACTTATTTTTTAAAAATTTAACATAACAAAACTTTATTTTTACTTTTTCCTTTTGTTTTTAAAAAGATATTGAAATTATCTTTATCATCACTGTCTTTATATCTTCAGCCTTGTTTAGATTTTTATGAGAAATCTGAACATAACATAAAGATGGCATGAAAGTGACCGAGTGACTTGACATGCAGTCACCTGTCATTGGGAACTGTATCACCCATACAGATGGGTTCAACTCTGACAGATATAGTGAAAACTTCACTAGCACTTATCAAAGCAAACCACGTCTACAGAGCGGCAACTGTCATTGTCCCATAGCAACATCTAGATCAACTTAGTTGGTCATCTTCATCAAAATTTTGAGACAATAAAAAATTAGCAGCCAGTTCTTCATTCTTTTCACAAGCAAAGTAAGCTTGAATGCACATTCCTTCAGGGAAGCCCAATGCTTTCAACTGAAAAATAAATTTAAAAAATAAATTACTGAATGAAGAAAAACAGAAGCAAATATCAGACAAAACTACAAAATCATTTCTAACAATTCAATTCATGACTAGGATGTTTTGGGCAGTAGAACTGAATAATTAAAACAATCTGGAGCTTCATTTGGAAATTGGAAGACAATAAAATTTAATGTAAACAAAAGAAATTATAAGTAAATTAGCTACACACAAGGAATATGTAGGCATGTGTGTGAGAAAGGAATACCTGTTAAAAATTTATTTAATCTTATTTAAAATAATTTTTTGTTACTGCAGAAAAAAAATATTTGTTTTTATTTTGTGATACTGAGCATTGAAGCAATATTTGATTTATATTTACAAACTACATGTTAAGGAATATTTTTTCATTCTATTCACAGGGAGCTGGATTAGAAAGTTATATAATCTATTGAAATTAATGGAAAAAAAATTCCCCATGCTATTTTAGAGAATTAATTTAACTATAGTGACACCCCAGCAAAATTAAATGGACTCCACTTGATAGGCAACTTGTAAAACAAAATTATAGACATTAAAAAATGGTAGCAGAAAATGCAATGTTCTGAGTAAGAAACATTTTGCACAAAGCCATAGCTATATAGTGGATCGTTAAAAAATTACACCAGTCTTTTGACTATTGCTTCAAACATCAGGATGTGCCTCCAGATATAGCCTCTCTTACTGCAATATGGTAGTGCAACCTGGAAAATATGTTCTCCCCACCTATGAAATAGGTTTTAGTGAAGAATTGGTTTGACAAACCTTTCAGTACTCTTGTAAAAAATCAAATTATATATCTGCAATAAAAATGCAACTCTTCTGTTGATTGATTGTTTTAAATTGATAAGCAACACACACACACACACACAATTAAAAAACACATGCACTCTCTGCCAGAAACTGATGTGATATGCTTCAATTAAAAGGGACTAAAAACATTGAAACATCTGTATTTCTCATACAGTCATTTCATTGAAAATGTTATCCATTTTCAAGAGACATGCACGGTGGCAAAGTGTCCAAAAACTTAAAAAATATTCAGTAATTTTTTCAAAGATTCACATTAACACCTAAAATATTATTTTTCCCAACTGCTTAAAATTGTAGTCTGAAATGTAAATCAAATTTAAAATGAAAAAATTTGCATAAATTCTTACATATTAGCATAGCTTATTTTTAGAAATTGTTCCATTTAATATATAAATTTTACTAAGGGCAATATATTTTCAGAATTCAGAAACTTTCCCCAGAGATATTTAGCCCATATTTTAGGGGAAAAAAAAAAAAAAAAGTGTATTATAGCTTACACTTTCAATAGCTTCTTTTTCCTGAGGGGTTACTTGAATAAATGTTCCAGGTCCTATCTGTACACCCTGACCTCCAGTGTTGCCACCACCACCACCTCCACCACCGCCGCCACCGCCACCACCACCACCAACTGTGCTACCCAAGCCAGCTGCTACCTGGCCTGCTGCTTGGCCAGCTTGAACCGTGCCTGATTGACCACCTTCATCTACTGGCTCATTAATCATTTGCACAAACGTCTCCTGATTCTGGCTGATTAACTAGAAGGAAAAACAAAACAAAAAAAAATAAATAATCACCCACAAAATCCAAGAAAAATATACAACAGGTCATAAAATAAGATCTTTATGGAAGGCTTCTATTTGAATATTTTTGTATTATCCATTTAACCAGAATATTGAAATTTTACTATAAAAAAAAAAAAAAAAAAAAAAAAAAATAAATAAATGATTATCTAGTTATTTCACCAAAATAAACTACTCATTAAATATGAATTTCTTTATAACATTTAGGTCATAAAGTTTTTATTTTTCATATGTAGTGATGAGTTAAAAAATAAAAAAAAAAATAAAAAATGACATAACAAAAAAAAAAAACAAAGATACAAAATTATCACTTTTAATACACAATAGAGAGAAAAAAAATGTAGCAGTAAATATTTGTTAGGAAATAATTCTAATTAGTAATAATTGTTTAAATTGAAAAAGAAAAGAAAAAAATATTTCTATAGAATTTCTCTATGTACTGATATTTAATGTACTATTTTCTAAAATACAGAAATTTTAAAGATAAAGAGTAGAATTAAAAAAGATATGAACTAGCAATATTTTATATGCTCCAAGCTTCTAGAAACATCTCTGCAAATGTCTTTTTCTAAGTATATGAATACATTTTAATATTTTTTAAAATTGTTGCATTGCATCATACTGTTAAAAACTTTTGAGTATTTTCTTTTTACCCTTGTAATTGAATTGATTATTTGTTCTTACATCAGATTCTTTTTTTTGTGGTTGTGGGATCCACAAAAAGAAGTAAGTCTATATCATTATTAGGCTATCAGAGACAAACCCATGGATTGTTTTTGCAGAGCCATTTCTGGATGGGTTTAGCATCAAGGAAACAATATCTGTAAGCTGTCAATAAATAGAGATTTGTGATTGAAAGACAACTATAGTATTAAAGTTTGTTGTAAATTGCAGATTCTCATAACTTTAATAAAAGATCTTATCAAATTGTACAAAGATGATTTAGTCAGCCAAAGCAAAGTTTGCTGACATTTGTAAACTTTAAACAGCAAACTGAACCAATTTGTGAGAAGAATACCTGCAGAAGTGGAGGGTTTGTTGAACCTATCTGTTGCAGCAGGGCAGGTAATACATGAGGATTTCTTTGAATGACACGACGCATTTGTTGAAACTGTGGCTGGTTTCGGAGAAATTCAAGTGGATTCTCTAAAAAGAAAAAATTCAGTTTGAAGAATATTTTTTTTTACAATGTTTTAAAAGAATTCTAGAAGGTAATTTAATAACTTTCAAAGAAGCAAAGCACTTAACCAACATAAAACATTTTGTGTCTAATTACTTAAGATAATCTGAAATCTAATGGATATGAATATAAAAATTACACAAAAATTTCCATTATGCCAATCTGAATAATAATAAAACTGATAAGCAAACTATGAGAATCAGGAAAAGATTAATTTTGAAAACTTAATTCCATCTTCATGCAGATAGGCGAAATTTACAGATATTTGCCAACATTATCCTTTGTGACTATGAGAGTTGTGAAAATAAAGAGATGCAAATTCGGGGGTGGGGTAGGGGGTGGTGGTCTTGGAAACTAAAACTGAAAGGGAGAGAGAGTATATTTAAAAAGGAAAAGAACTATTATTAATCCAAATTTTTAATGACTACTTTTGAATAAAGTTTTAAAAAATGTTTAAATTATATCAATTTCCAATTTAAATAAATGTTTAACTTAAAATTATTTTTCATCCGAGATAAGAGATGAAAGCATAACGTATTATTTATGTATGAATTCATTTAAAATGTATTTCAACTGAAAGCACTTTTTACAGAGAATAATAAATTTAGGTGTTATGTTTAAGGTGAGATTGACATGCACATTAATCTCTCTAAACATAATACACAACAATCTAATATTATAATTGTCTCAAATGTAAATTTTCATTATGTACAGTTTTTAGACAATGTTTCTCTCTACAAGAAAAAAAAAAAAAAAAAAAAAAAAAAAAAAGGAATTTGGATATGAAATATAATTTTAGTAGATTTGAAAAGTATAGTTCTCGATAAGGGAGATAACTAGTAAAAAAGCTAATGTAACCACGTCTGAATACTAATGGGGCTATTGCCACAGAAACGTCCATTTTCACCCTACACCAATATAAAATGCACAATTAATGAAAAAGGCTTGTACCATTGAATATTTCCTTACACACAACATCCACATATAGGTATCAGCAATTTCAGGGTTAGCTTGTTTTTCTAAATATGAAAAAGGCGATAGTTCGAGAAAAGTTATGCATTTTGTGAATTTACTGTCATGGTAATTTCCAGATTTGTTTATAAAAAAAAAAAAAAAAAAAAAATCGTACTGAAAAATATATTGATAATTTTTTTTGAAGAACATCGGAGATACAATTATGAAAGGTAAACATGTACTTACCAGCAGACTGTGTTGTAGCAGACTGTAGGGGAGTACTAGAACTAGTAACATTAGCTTCATTTCCACTTCCAGTCAATGGCGAATCCTCCATTATCCCAGCTTCAAATTCTTGTGTACCACCACCCTACAAGATATTAGAAAAACAGATAGTTTTAACTTAGAAATTCATGGCCAAAAATTTACAGCAGAATTGAATTATATTGAAAATGATTAAAATCAACATATGCATTAAACATTTTTTAATAATTGAAGATGCTTTTATGAATTTTGTTAATGAACTGAACCAACTCAATTGTGCTATTGTAAGCGCTCATCAATTTATTATATATTCAGACACTAACTTAAAAACCACCCTATCAGGCAGCATTTAAGCTAGCTCCTTCAGAGGGCTCTTGATTGGGCCTTCAGCTTGTTCAGGAGTTTGAGGGTCCCTAAGTTTTTGCATATTCTCAGCATTGGAAGCTCTCCTGGCTGCTGTTTGATTTGGATTTTCATTTGCACAGGACTTTCTTTTCCTCACTGCCACCTTGGCTCTTGATGGCAATCTGCTCCTCTGTTGGCAGAGATTTGCTTTTGCAAGGTATACCGCTGCTATATACAATAGGTAACAATAAACTATAGAACTCAAAATCGATCGCTGCATTTAAGTATTGCATTAATATCTAAGCTTACCTTTTAAAAGTTCAACGATAATTCTTCTGCCAACACTTAATTAAAAGACAAGTTGATGTATGTAGTTCTTTACGTTCTATACAGACAATTATTTTTTATTTCATGGGTAACTTTCACTAGATTTGGCAATTAATTTCAATTATTCCCAAATTTATTTCCAAGTTATAAAAATTGTTATTGTCAAAAACAGCTGCAGTAATGAAAATTTGAGAATCCAAAATTTCAGGATTGTGGGTCTGGACCTGGCCTGGAATATTTTTAATTTGTTCACAGAATTGGCCTGATTCCAAAATATGTTGAAAGTTGAAAAAGTGTGACACACTGACATTCACATTTATTTTTATAGATTAAACATTGAGACTATGAAGAAATCAAACCCCAATATTGTTACTACTAAATACAACTATTTTTTATTTTATTTTGTAAATCTTTATGACCAAGATACAGTTAGATGCAAAGGTATTTCAATTACCCTAGATAATTTCTACTTATTTTTTCTGATTAATCATTCTGAATTTTATTTGATGACATTATCTACTCATATTGATAAAACAGTTTAATAGGTGAACTAGAATAAATAACAGAATTACAAATTACTATTAATTCCATAATTGTAAGTACAAGTTGGGAATACTTTATCTGAAATTCTTGGGACTGGAAGTACTTTGGTTTTCAGATTTTTCGTATTTTGGAATACAGGCTATTTAATTTGTGTATAGTATCTGTAAAATAGAGCAAGTTGGGAATGGAACCCAAGCATAAGCACAATATCTCTTCACATTCACAACATAACCTATACATATACCCTGAAGGTAGTTTTATATAAAATTTAATAAATTTTGTGTAATAAAAATAATAATGTTTTGTACTTTCAGTACATGTACAAAAAAAAAAAAAAAAAAAAAATCACTATTTACAAAAATTATATAAATGCAGGACTTTTTAACATTTTGAATAACAAAACACCAGGTAGGTAATCCACAAATGAAGGTGGTGTTGTGATGATTGCTAACAAAAAACTGGCATCAACATAGGCTAATAGCTGAGCTAGGGAACCCCCATCCAGGGCAGATGAGATCATTTACAACAGACGCACATCACCTAGGAACATTTCCAGTACCTTCTGAAATTTTCCATTTGTGGCAAGTGATGTCAACACTTAAAAACTTTTGGATTTTGGAGGTTTTCGGATAAAGGATACTCAACCTGTACTTTAATATGACTGTCTGCCAAACCAATTAATACTTAGTTGAGTATTTCAATATTTATTAATAGTAGATGCTTTTGTTTTAAGCTACTTTTAGTTTACTGGCAAAATTTCCTACTGATTTATTTAAAAATACTTTAAAATGTTACTTTTGCCGTATTTAACCTTGAATCCCTAAAAAAAAAAAAAAATCCATCTCTTCTTCCTAATGATATTTCTGATAAAAACCCTTTCACTTTCAATCTTTAAATTCACTTACAAGCTTGTCTTTTATGCAAAGAATGGATTATTTTGACATGAAAGGGGGGGAGTTTCAAAACTATACATAACTAGCAAGCTTTGTTTGCTCACTATCACTTTGTCAAGTAAAATATATTCACTACTTGAAATCTTTGAAACAAAAATTTTAAACGAACAGTTTGTTCATAAGTTGGCTTGTTATAGTTAAGGAAAGTTTTACAAATAGATGCCAACTTGTTGAAGGCCAAGTAAAATGCAAATTTCAAACACTTTTTCGCACGATATAAGATGATATTCCTAAAAAACTATTTTTTATATAAAAATCAAAACAATCCTCAAACAAAAGAACAGTAATGAAAGACAGTTAGTTAATGTAATGAAATAAACTTTTTTAGAATCAATATGCAAATTAGTTAAACCTGAAGAGTGATATTGCCTAGAAGTAGATAATATATAATGAGGTTTTAGTGTGTAAATTACAATGAAGTAGTCTGTAACATATTTATTTATCATCTCTCAGTTGCATCTCTGTCTGCAGAGTGTGCCCAGGGGCGGTCTCATCAAAGGACCTGAGGAAAATTATACTGAGAGGTGCCCAGCCCTGCGGAACAGCTGCCCAAGGCTGTGCCCTCTCATTGCACCAGAGAGTGTGCTTGCACCAAGGTCAGCGCAATAGATGGCTGAGGAGGCTTGGGGAATTTTTGCTCCTTGCCTGAGTGTACGTGCTTGGGCTCCCTACATTAAACCAACCTTGTGTCACAACCTGACCTCATGGGAAGTTGAGTAAATACAAGTTACTATAAAGTAGAGCTGGGGCTTCTTAATCTCAAAATTCATGGGAGAATTGAGCTCCAATTTCGCATTTATTCATATAGATTCCATAATTTAGCTATTATATTTCTCTAACTCTTCAAATGTTGAATGTATAACTAATTCCAATTTCTATTTTACCATCTTTACACTACATTAATTTTATCTTATAAATTGTCCCCCGTTCTCTCATCTACGAAATAAAAATAATTGTTTGTATGGAAAATAAGGAGCTACATACATCAAATCGTCCTTAAATTAAGTGACAGCAAAAGAATTATCATTGAACTTTTAAAAGATATGCTTAAACATTAATTCAATACTTAAATGCAGCGATCAATTTTGAGTTCTTCTGAAGTTTATTGATGCCTATCACATCTACTCCTCCATAGCTATTGTGATGGCCAAACAGGAGCTAGCTTAAATTCTGGTCAATAGGGTGGCTTTTAAGCTATTTATAATAAAACATGCACTGCAATTTGGGATACAAATAGAAAATAAGAGTCACTCCCCCTGAACCATAAAAGCAATGCTAATGGTTAGTATAATATAGTAATATATATTTTTAACCTCGCATAATCTGGCAACCCTGAATCTGAGCTCAACAAAAACCGTTCCATGCACCTAACTTTTCTAGGGCTTTTGAATGAGCTATGAATCATTGAAATCAGACTAGTGGGAGCAGGGAAGTTGCTTGGACACACACAAGCACACATACACTGTACTTTATATACAAGATATAAGTTTAAAACATTTTAACCCAGGTAGTAATTAAAAAAAAAAAAAAAAAAATTTAAGTTATAAAATTTACTCTGCAAAATGTTTAGTTGTGATTAGTTACCCCCCCTTTTTTTAAAGGGGTATTCAGTGTTATACTTGAGGTGGAATAATACAGAGTAAAATTAAAATCAAAATAGATACTTACATTATATAAAAACTCTACTGCTCTATCTGGATTATTAAAATTAACCCTTAAAGCACGTTCAACATGTTCACGATCAAATCCTAATTTCATTATTTCCAGAACCATATTTTCATAGTCCTGTCCAGTCACTAATGCACTCTCTGCTGACTGCAGAACAGACAATGGCTCCTCAATGGCTGCAGCTAAGGCTGTAGCAGTATTTTCAGCAAGGGTAGTTTCATCAGTGCTGAAATAAATGAAATTCAAATTTACTGCCTGAAAATTACAAATATATGAAATTTTTGAAGCATGAATACAAATATTTAATTTAGAAAACAAAAGTTGAAAGCTGCTAAACAAATTTACTGATACAACTTCCGAATCACACACAGTACTAGGCACCCTTATGCCAAAGACATTAAAGACTAATACAATAAAATGTGTGTTTGAAATGATTTGTGGTGGTAATTTCTAGAGAATCTTTATTAATGCTACAACACTTTGTGAGGGAAACCTAGAGAGAGAGAGAGAGAGAAAAAAAAAAAGAGAGAGAGAGGGGGGAGGGGCATAAGAGAAAAGACAAAGATCAAGAGGGGGAAAAAAGAAAAGGAAATGAAAAAAAAGAGAATAAGAGAAGTCTCTTCACAATTTACAGGATATAAAAGAACTAGTATTGCTTAAGTATTATTTTGTGTATATTCTTCCTGTAGTTCATCTCCTTTAAACAGTATATAGGTAATGTGCAGCCATTGAAAGGCTTTTGGGGCAGATTATAACCCCCCAATAGAACTTCATTTAAAATTGAGTAAACTGAAATGTAGAAAAGAATATTGGATAATTGTTGATCTGTAATTATTTCTCATCAGATTACTAATCTTCAATTACATTTTATAAAACATGCTCATGAGTGATGGTTAAAATTAAAACTTTTGATGTGAACTTACCTGGCCGATTTTTCTGATGCCTTTGCTTCAGATTCTGCATCAGTTTTATCAGCATCAGTTGCCTCTTGAGTTTTTGATGATGTTCCTGAAGCTGGAGTAGATGAAGCTCCCTGGCTAGTTGCAGGTCGGGGTTTTTCAGATGCAGCAGCACTTGCTGTCTCTTCCTGACTGGCAGAGCTCTCAGACACCTTGGCAGATTGAGGTTTATTCTAAGAGAAAAATTAATGTTGAACTCACATGTACCGAAAATTGTACTGATAACCATGAAGCTGCTTTATAAAATTTATAGGTCTAGTAAATTGGATTTACATAAACAAATGAAAATGTGTAAAGAAAATATTCACTTTAAAATTAAACAAATTAATCAGTAGTTAAATCATAAAAAATATTTGAAAATTTCCCAACAGATCACTTTACATAATGACATAAAAATGACCATTTAATTCATTAGTAATTTTTTTTTTTTTTTTTAATATTGGCAGGCTTTCAAATAAAATGAAGTTCCTGTTTAAAGTTTAATAAATGTTGAGCAATTGTGAAATCCTCTGCCATTGCTGCTTTAAAATAGTTAACATTTTCCCCAGTTGTACTTAAAAATATTTTTGATAAGGCAAATTATTTTACACGGCCTATAAGTAAGCAAGATTTTAATTTTTAATTTAGAAGGCATTTTAACAAAGCAAATGTCCAAAATATCCCAAATCACTTGTTTCTTTAATTGCATAAAACAAATATTTTTCATGTTTGTATTACTCACCTTGGTTACCATCAAAACCACAAATTTGCTTTCTTCAATATCATAGTCAAGTATTTTTTTTTCATCTTCAAGTATCTTTCCTAAATTAAAAAAGTATAATAGAAAAAAAAAATACATTACATAAAGATGTAAATATAAATATTTAATGCAATCACAAAAATGTCATATTCTTTTAGCAATTTCTAACAAAGTGATTTTTGTTTTATTGCAGATGATCAATTATTTCTGATCAATAATTACCATTATTGACATGAAGATACAAATTTAAGCAGGTATTTTACACTAAATACACTGAGATCTTTGAGTATCATTCATAATTAGTCTTGTATTTTTTGTGGTGTTATGCAACTTGCATGAAATTCTGTTGAAAATCTTACAAAGATTTGATAAATTTTTTGTCAAACTGAAAATAATTTTTGCTGTGTTTATAATTAGAATAAAGTATTTTGCCTATCTTGCCAAGTTTAAGATTTTTGGTGAATGACAGTGAAATATTTAAGAAAACTATTAAAACAGGTAGACATGTATTAGCTGCTTTACAGTGGATTAATCTATCAAAGTTATACAAAAAGCACTAATTTTAACATGTTGCAAATAGAAAATATTTATGAAATATAATAAATTGCAACATTAGAGGACTTCAAGAATAAATTGTCAAGATATTTGCAGTATAAACAGATTTATTGTTCCAAGCTGACTGAAATGTTCTTAATTTAATGGCCTTAAAAAGCAAAACGGTAAATTTCTGAGGTTTGCCATTTCTGATAGTTTCAGTTTATCTACAATCACAACAATCGACAATGAATTTTTAAATGAAACTCCAAGAAACTTACCTGAATAAATCAATTTCTGTGCAGCTGCTGGGTAATCTTTCCCTTTATCCTCTTCAACCTTTTCTTTAAGTTGCTTAACCTGGATTAAAGAAACAAATAAAACATTGTTGCTTACTTGTATGTAAAGTGGCCATAAATTAAGGGAAGGGAAAATAAAATGCAAATTTGGATTTAATAATTTCACCCAAGAACAAAGTAAAGGAAAGTAAAAAGTTAAAATGAAAAATCTGAAGTCTAAAAAAGACATGTCACACACACTATATATATATATATATATATATATATATATATATATATATATATATATATATATATATATGGGTAATTTAATCTCATGTCAACCAATGGCCACAAATGAACCTCTCAGGAAAATTCACAGGTGTTCCTTGATCAAATGTATTAATAAATCCCAAGTATTAAACCTGTATTTAAAAGGACACTGAGATTCTCATTTACAATGTCAGATATAATATCCAGATTAGTTTTCCTGTCATCTATGACCCAAAAGATTATTTTATGCAATAACAATATTCATGCCAATATTATTTCAAAACTGCCCGATCTTTCTTTTTTAACATCTTTAAAATTGCCTATTTTCATCAGCAGGCCACTTAGGCAGTTTAAGAAAATTTTAATATTTTACCACATATTCTTACAATGTCTGAAGATCATATGATAAATGTTTTGTTTTGTGGACAAACTTCTATGGTTAAAACAGTTTTCTAAAAATGGTTGTCATGTCAAAATCATAGTTTTGCAGATTTTAGCAAAAATAATTTTTGGCTTCATTTTACCTTTATTCCAAATAGTTTAGATGCTATAGACGCACAAAAATGTTTTCAGTGAACAAAGAAAACTAATCCAAGAACATTAAAATATGGATTTTACTACATTATTTTAATTCTAAATACAAGTCAAAATAATGAAAATGTATCACAGTTTGTCCATGTGAAGCAGTTATATTAATACTCAAAAATATACAAAAATCTGTTCAGAAAAAAATTACAGTGAGCATATTTTTAAAAGGAAACAAATATTTAGTGATAATAGTCAATACTTTCAATAATAAGCCAGCATTTTAACTAACAACTTTTAGTATTACCAAAATGTATTCAAAATTGCTAACACCTTGCTTCTATAATTCATTACTTTCAAAAAAATTTCATGCATTAATTTCATTTTGTGTAAACATCTGTAAAGAGCATTAAAAGCTTTTCTGCTACTAAAAACACGCGCTTATTCAGTAAAATATCAAGTTTTACATGCTCCTCAAAAGTATAAGGTAAGGTTCAAAAGTGGAGAAAATGTTTAAAAGTAGTTCAGTATAAAGATGGATGCTGATACTGGTTACATTTTCTAAAGAACTTATTTTCTTGTCTACTAATAATCCCATTATAATTGTGCTTGCCTTTACCATTGTTAGTTCTCATGACCGTTATATGCCCTGCCAATACCTCATAAATAATAGGCTATTCTATTTTGATCATGTGGAAAGACTACTAAAGTTTCAGTGAGAAAATGAAAGAAAGGTGAGAGAATCAGATAAGAACAGATACTACACTTTGATTTTATCCAAAAGGTCAAGAAGTGTTGACAACTGCAATAAAAGTGGTATTTTTCAGATGCAGTAGCAAACAATGGAAACCAAGTAAAGCAATCACCAAAAATCCAGTTAACATAAATAAAATAATATTGTCTGGAGAATTATTTTTAAATTATTAAGAGAAATGTTTGGTTAGAAAGAAAGGGAAGATAGGGTTTAATCTCTCCTGCCAATACCACATATAAAATGGACTATTCCATTCTGATTCCATAGAAAAACAAGATGTATGCTACTTGGTTTCAGTGAGAAAATGAATAGAAGATATTGATATTAATCTTTGAAATGTTCACACCTCCATGTCAGTGGTTCTTCTGCCTAATTGGTTCCCCTCAGTTGAGTTTTGTTAGCAATTCAATGTTCAGGAGGTTAAGTATATGGTCCTTTTTAAATTCCAAAGTTTCACTGATGTTTTATTCCATTTAAGACTTAATTCTGCAGAATTAAAGAAATCTAGGATCTTCAGTTCCTGGCAAGTCAACGAAATAGAAAGTAGTGCGTTATCACTTGGAAATAGTTTGGAAGATGCATGCCATAATATTTCTTATTAAAAACTACAAAGATTTCAAAACTTCATTTGCAAATGAAAAGAAAAAATAGACTGTCAAGTCATTTGACATCTCGAGTTTCCCTTGATAAGTATAACACTGTTTTCCATCATAAGAACATTTTTAACAAGTTATGAAAGCTTTCAATGATATTGTGAATCCAAATAAAATTCATCTGAATATCTCTAAGTGGCATTTTATAATCTTATTGTCTAATTTCATGTAGATTTTTAGTTGATGCAGTTTTGTGTAACAAGCATTTGTTTATTTGATAAGAAATTTTTTATGTTAAATATAAAAAAACAATATGCAACAGCTATGACTTTTCAGTTTAGCTAAGATTAATTTCCTCTGTTGTGTAAGCTAATACTCAACGAAGTATGACTGTAAATTCAGCTCTTCAACCTGCATCTGAACCTAGAAAGGACCTGAATGTCAACACTCTAAATTATTTACCAATCAAATATGTGAGCCCTGAAAACATGGTTTATATCTAAACTTAAATATTTATATTTCCTTTAAAAATATCCTTCATGTGATTTTTGCCTTACTAATTTGTGTATATTTTTGAGTATCAATAAAATTGCTTATGAACAAATTGTGATGCATTTAAAATTAAAATAATGTAGTGGAATCCTTATTTTAATGTCCTTTGTTTAATTTCTTTGTTCAGTTAAAAATGTTGTAGACCATCTGAAAAAAACATTTTTAAAGACCCATAGCATCTAAACTATTTGGAACAAAGGTAAAATGAAACAAAAAATCCTTTATTTGCATAGGAAATTATAAAAGGTATCAACTTTAAGCTTTATATTTTTCTTTAGTGTCAAATTTATAAGGTACTAAATATCAGCAAAACCAGGATTTTTACATGATAGGCTGTTACAGCAATACTGCCATTCTTATAACAGGAACAAATATGGTTATTGCATAAAATGATCTCTCAGGTCATGACAAGAAAACTAATTTAGATGCTATATCTAACATCCTTTGTAAATGAGAAGCTCTCAAAAGGGACAGTACCTTTTTGCATTTTGACCACTTTCAGGTCCTTATAAAACTAAATCTGTGCTGTTTATATTTTTCTAATTTACAGTAAATATTAACCATTTTCCCCAAATATCAAACTATACATGCAATATCATTGGAGCAATGACTTAAAAGCTTGTTGGAAGCATAAAAAAATGCAGTGAAATTTGAAGGTACTCTGTAAAATTTTAAAATACAGGTCAAATATTTGGAATTTATTAATAAATTTGATCAAGAAATATCTGAGTATCCAGATTTTCTGAGAGGTTCACTTCTATTGGTTGATTTGATTTCAAAATTGAAGCTTTTAGCTTCGGTTTTTGAAACATGGTAATTTCTGTGTAGCAAAGAAACCATATTTTAAATCAGTTAATTTATAATATTTATGCTCTGTAAATTTACATTGAGCACCATTTTGTAAAAATAAAAATATCTATAAGAACACCGGATTATATATCTTACTGTTCTTTCTTTTTATTATAATATATATATATATATATATATATATATATATAGGGTAGATTACATCTAAAAGATGTTGATTATTTTGAATGATTCAGAAAAGTTTAAAAAAATTGGTCCAGTTGAAACTTGTGACAACATGTACAGAAATGAAATTAAAATTCAGAACCGTCTATTATACTTGTTTAGAAAAGGTTACTTTTCTAAGGAAACTTATGACAGGATTAGACCTTCTGGTTCCCTTAGACCAAGGCTTTATGGTCTTCCTAAAGTTCATAAGAAGGACGTTCCATTGAGACTAATACTTTCAATGATTGGTTCATCCCAACATTCTTTGGCTCAATGGCTTCTGCAGGTCATACAGCCGGTCCAAACATTTTTTGCTAAACATTGTATACCTGATTCGTTCATGTTTGTTGAACACTTACAGGTCATACAGTCTTGCCCTGATACTGATTTTATGTGTTCTTTTGATGTGTCCAGTCTGTTTACCAACGTACCATTGAGGGAAACTATTGATATCTGTGCAGACTTTTTATACGAAGGTAACATTGCTCCACCTCCTTTTCCTAAGGATATATTTATAGAACTTATGATACTATGTACCAGTTCGGTGGAGTTTAGTTTTGATAATATTAGGTATAGTCAAGTGGATGGGGTCCAGATGGGCAGTCCCCTTGGTCCTGCATTGGCTGATATTTTTGTGGGCTACCACGAGATGTTACTTTTCGACAAAGTGTCTAAACCGTTTGTTTATGTCAGGTATGTCGATGACATTTTCGCAACTTTTTCTAACGAAAGTGAGGCTGTTGAGTTCTTTAATGAACTCAACTCCTTACACAATGGTTTGTCTTTCATTATGGAAGGGGAGAAGGACAACTGTCTGCCTTTTTTGGACGTTTTTGTTGAACGTAGTAGATGTGGTTTTCTTACTAGCATCTATTGTAAACCCACCTTTACGGGTCTCTATTTGAATTGGCGTTCATTTGCTCCTGCATCAAGGAAAATCAATCTTGTTAAAACCTTGGTGTATAGAGTGCTTAAAATTTGTTCTCCTATTAGATTGGACCATGAATTTGAAAACATTAGGGAGATTTTCCTTAGTAATGGCTATCCGGAGGCCCTTATTGACTATATTATTAGTAAGAAGACTAAGGAATTTCATTCCCCTAAAATCCAGGGGCCTTCTAAATGTCTGGTGTATTTGAAGATTCCCTGGATTGGGGATAGGGGTCAGGGCTTAATTAAGCAGGTTAGCAAGTCGGTTTCCGGTTGTTTCCCATCAGTTGCTTTATGTAGCATTTTTCGAACTACGTCTGTGTTTCCGTCTTTTTGCAAGGATGTATTGCCCTACATCAAATTGAGTAATTTAGTATATGAATTTAATTGCCAGTGTGCTGCTGGTTATGTGGGGCGTACAACCTTGCATTTGGAAACTAG